GTCACTGCAGGGGGGTTGGACTAGATGACCTTTAAAGATCCCTTCCAACCCAAACTATCCTATGATTCTACACCTGTTCCATTCTTTGAAGATTTCAGTGCCATAAAACATCACTGGCACCATCATTTCATCTGGGTACCCATACACAGAAAATTGAGCAAAAAGCCTGTTCAGTGTTCCCAGAGCTTCCAGTCTACACGTAGGTCAAAGGGCAATGAATATCTGCTCCTTGTAGCCACGCACACACACACACAATGAGTCATTTTCACAAGTGCTCTGCGTCTGCCATTAACGATAATGGGAGCAGTGTTAGACTAGCAAAAGTGCTTTTGAAAATCCCATCCATTATCCTTACCTCTGTCTGTTCTGATATCTCTACATCTTTATAACTCCTTGCAAAATTGCCACAAAAATTTATCAGACCAGGCACAAAACCTACCCATCTGCCTTTTCTCTTGATGACGAGTGATAATGAAAAAGAACTAATTACATTTTATTTGCCCATTAAAAAAAAAAATTAAAAAAAAAAATGACTTGCTGCAGATGATTAGGCCAGTAGGATTCTGGAAGGTCAAATCTCAGATGGAGTTTGAAAGATCATTCACAGAATAAAGACCTGTATAGAGGTAATATGCTTATCCAGAGCTACCTAATGGAAAAAAAAAAAGAAAAAGAAAAAAAAGAAAAAAGAGATGGAAAAGAAACAACAAACCATCCCTGTTACTATATTGACTACATTTTCAAGCAAGATAAAATGTTGTCATTTTCTCCCAAACATTAATAATGTTTTCTAAGGCTACAGACACCCTGCTGAGAGAACAGCAAACCAGCTGTACCAGAGCTCTTCATTACCCTGTCTTTATTTCAGTCATCAGAAATGTGTTTTGGGACCTGAAGCTGTAAGACAGCAAAGAAATATTGTCTTTGTAGGAAATAGTAGATAAATGTTTGAAGAACAGATGCCCAGGACAATGTTCTGTATGGGTGGGAATGCTGAGGACTCATCTGTAGATATGCCTTTCAAGTAATGTGTTTCAGGTCTGTATGGAATAAGTTGGGGGTAATTACACCAGAGAGGTTTGTCACTGACATCTTAAAGCCATTAAGGCCCTCAAGAGTTGAAATGAGGTTTAGCTACTCAATTCCCTCTAATGTCAACAGCAGTCTCAGGGCACAGCATTTCTATAGCTTAGAAAATGTAAAGGTCATTTTTGTCCAAGACGTGGTAGAACAGCAAGAGTTAAGCTATAAACCAGATCCTAAATACTGATGCCTCCACTTGAATATTTTTTTCTTGTGTTTTTTTATCTTATGGTCCACAAGTGATCAGTGGTGCCCTACAGTGAATTGTAAGGAGATACAATTAAATTGTACACAGCTATGAGTTCTCATGCCCTGAGATCTCTCACTGGCTCCATCAGAAGAGTGACGATAAAGTGGTGTTTGCAAGAAGTTCCCTACCCATGAAAAGCGAGGTGTTCAGGATGCCACATGGATCGATAAAAAATAAAATCAGAATGAAATAAATTCATGCTTTAATGGTCCAAACAGACAAAAAAAGAAAAAAAGAAAGAAAAAAAGAAAGTGGGAAGCCAGCTCCAGCAGCAAAGGAAAATGTCACAATGTATGATCTCAGAGAACAATGTGAAGTCATAATACAAAATACCTTTGAAATTTATAAAGCATAAAGGTGAATTTTCCTTAGAACTTACTGCAAAATTTTCAGAGAGAGGTAACAGAAAGAGGTGAACATCGGACTAGTGGCTTTTGCACCTCAAGTCTGGCAGCAGTAAACCCACAGACACCCATGATCCATGTGTGGATTCCTAACTCCAGTAGCTCCCAGAGCACAGATATGCAGCACAGTAAGTTCTCAGTTTTGGTCATGTTTATACAGCTCTTGGTTTTAGAAAGTGGCAGCTCCCTTATTCTACATATAGCCATAATATGACCATGGCACTTGAGACCAGAGAACAAACGTGTTACTGAATTATCTCCATGCAAGGCTGAAAGTCCTGTGTAGAGGGATTACAGTAATTCATGCACTTTAAGTTCAAAGAGGCCGCCATGATCAGCTTGTCTGACCTCTTATATACACAGGTTGTCCAGTTTTATTTCCCCAGAACATATTTAAAGGCTGTCTTTTAGAAAGATATCTCATATATCAAAAATAGCTGATTACAGTGAGTCCACCACTTCCTCTGGTAAGCTATTCAAATTCTTAATTACTACCAGGAAACTGCATCTTATTTCAAGGTTGAATTTCTCTAACTCCAATATCCCGCCACTGGAACTTGTTTTGCCTTTGTCTGCAAGGTTACCAGTATTTCCTTCTGCCTTACATGCTCAGATGTCTTTTCCAAGTGCAAGTCCCTCCACACAGAGCAACAATCCATTCCAAACTTTTTCTCTGAACAGCTGAGGAAAATTAAACTTCCCATTTTTAAAGTTTATTTTCCAGCCACAGAATTTTTTTTGTGTGTGGCATCCTTTGATCTCTTTCCATTAATTTCACATCTTTTGTTATGTCTGGGCACCAACACTGGACACAGACCTGTGGCAGCAATATCAGGTACAGAAGAGAGACCACTTCTAAACTTTTGGGGTTTTATACTTCTAAAGGATCACAGTAGCCTTTTAGCAACAGCCTTGCACTGAGAACTCATGTTGAGACAATTATCTCCAGTGACCTCTAAATCCTGTTCTGTGTCATTGCTTCTCAAGAGTCTCCCAACCTGTAGGTATAACACGCTGTCTTTGTTCCCAGGGGTATTATCT